TTTCCTTTTTATTTTTCATATTGGTTGTGCCTTCTCTTTTTTCTCTCTCCTATTTTTTTTCCTTGATCTGTTCTTGCCAGAGATGAATACATTTTATTCGTCTTTAAAAAAAATTACTACAGTTCTGCTGATAAGTTCTCTCCAAGAATATCTTTATTGCATAACAATTTGAGAATGGCTTTTTAAAACTAAATATAGTGTTTGAGGTTTTCAGGTATTTTCTTCCATCACCAAGAAGATGGCATTTCATTGAATTACAGCTTCCATTGTTCCTGCCTTGAGGTCAGCCGTCAGTCATATTGGTGCTTCTTTGAGGTTTTTCTTTATCACCCTCCAGCTGCCTTTTGGTATTTCCTTTTGGATTTGCTTTTTCATAAGTTTTACTGTGTTTGAGCTTATATCTGGTTTCCTTCATATTCACCCTGATTGAGGATCACAATGCCTCTGGAGCCTGATATCATTTTTAAACAGAAACATAGGAACTTGTTTTGCTTTCTTTTAAATTGCTCTGGTTTTCAGGGTGATAAATAATCAAACATTCCCCCCTCCATATATCAATTCAGGAAGAAATTAAGAATGCATATAGTAATTAGAGACATGAGATCAAAATATTAACCTTATTTCTAATAAGTCAAGGGTTGAGAAAAAAGAAAACTAATTTAAGACTATAAGCAACTCTCTAATAACTACCTGAAGGCTAGACATCAGGACAGTTTTTTTCCAAGGGAGAATTTTCACCTGCAGAGCAAACACCTTTCCTCCAAATTGCTGCCTAACACTTACTGGACCACAATGATGAGGAAAGAGGGAAATGATCCCATAATCAGAAAGGTGGAGCATGGGGCTTACTTTATGGAAAACTGCAGGAGAAACCAATAAACCTCTGTAGACAAACCAAAAAAAAAAAAAAAAAAAAAGGAAGGAGCCAAGTGATACAGATTCAGTTTATTCTCCAGTCTCATTGATCAGGTAAATCCAGTCCTTCCTCAGGTGAAGGAGACAGAGAATTATTCCTCCCATAATTTTCCCTCCTAAGGAATCAGGTTAAAAATACCCTTACTCCATGGAAATAAGCTGCCTGGGATAAGCACTTGTGAAATAATATGTACACTAATAAGCATTTTTTTCTATATGGTCCTTACCCAAAAGTTAAGTGAATTTTTTAATATATACCTTAGATTCTGTAGAAATTCCTAAAGATGTGATCCAAAATCCTTTAACTTGTGAAAACTTACAAAATCAAATACAAATATATTCAAATTTCAATTGAAAAAGAACTCATGGTGTAGGCCGGGGAGGCCTGGCCGGCCAGGCTGGGAGCTCGAGCCCCACGCACCGCCGCCTCCCCCCACGATGTTCCCCTCCCGGAGGAAAGCGGCGCAGCTGCTCTGGGAGGACGGCAGGT